CCCCAAAACCCCAAAACCCCAAAACCCCAAAACCCCAGACATATAGCAGTGGGTTGACATCAAGAGAATTTGAAGAATTATATTATTGGTTTTGATAAACTCCTCCAAAGGATGGATCAATCTTAGATTCAGGGTCAATGACCTTCTTAATCACCTGCATTGTATGTGGATTTATTCTCTTATGTCCGTAAGAACAGTATTCTGTGATTTGTGCTGAAATTCCAAGCTTATTGATAGCATTAATGAAGTGCTGGCTTCTTTCTGTTAGAGCTGATAGCAATTTGATCGCAAATATGGGAATCGGGTCTTCTTCGTTGAGTAGATACTTGAAAATAGGTAAGAAATTCAAAATCAATATATCATTTATTATTTCTGTAGTAAACTGAGCTATCTTATCTGATTCTGATGCAAAGCTTCCTTCTTCAATTGGCACTTCAAGCTTTGAGACATCAAACACATTTTCATCATAGAGATACTGAACAATAATGTCATTGAATACTTTAAGTGACATGAACTTGACTTCACTGTTTTCAGATCTGATTTTCTCCATCAAAGCAGGAAGTATGTGTTGTACGATAGAGATGCTATTATTTGTCAGAGTCTTTTGGTTAACTGAGATAGCTTCCATAATTGCTATGATTGCATTGATCATCTCATCTGCGCCTTTGAATAAAGTTAGCTCTCAGGAATTTAGAAGCCTAGCTATTGATTCTAGGAACTCTTCTGAGACTATTCTTGCTTTCATCAGTTGGTTATTAGTAACGTTCAGAAGTAACGATATCAAAGTCATGTGTCCTCTGACATTTTTGAAATCATTTCTTCTCTCCATTACAGATTCGACTATGCTGTCAACGTCGAGTTCCTTTGTATCTCCAATATTTATAGCATATGTTAGATCTTCCTCTATGAAATTGAGAATGATCGGGATGGTAACATTCATTTGGTCAATGAAATGCATCAGCCCATATTGAACATATTTGTAGCTATCTTTAACAAGTCTGCCTAGCAAAGTGATGAATTTCTTATCGTTTATAAACAATGTGAACCACTGGAGAGGAAAAATTTTTAGCAAGAGAACTACTGCTAGTAGAGATTTTCCTCTGATTACCAAACTTTGGCTTTCTAACAGACTTACAATAATTTGGCACAAACAGTCTCCAGATTCATTGACACAACTGAGTAAGCTCTCGTTCTTATTGAGCAAAGCAATGTTGAGCATTGTGATGAAAGCTTGTTGCACTCTAGTATGACTGTCATTGAGAATATTTCAGATCTCGTCAAGAGGAATAAAGTCAAGCACTATTGAAAATAGCTTTGGATTTAACTTCACAACATTAGAAAGTGCTACAGCAGCAGTATTAATAAAACTCTCTTTTGCTTGGCTCAAGAAGGCATCTATCAGTGATTTTCAAGTATTTGATGTGGCAAGACCAAGCCCTGCAGAGTCACTTTGAGCTGTAATATTTTCAATAGCTTTGCATGCATAAAATCTAACGACCTCATCTTGGTACTCTTCCATTCAGTTAAGAAGGGTTTCTATTGCTTGATCCGAGATCACCCAGACCTTGGATGCTTGATCGTCATCTAGCTGAGTTGCTGCATAGAATAAGTACTCTCCAAGTGCTGCGATGGCTTTTCTTCTTACATTCTCTTTAGAATCCTGAAGAGTTCTGCATAGAATGTTTCAAATTCCACTCTCTGCGACTTCATTTTCTATGACCGTTGCATGCCTGATAAGTAGCCCAATAATTGAGCAAATTCTAATCTTGATCATATGAGATTTGGTTGACTTGCTCATGATATGGACAAATAATCCCAGGAATGCTGAGTTTATCAAGGTGTTAGCCACATTGCTACTAATAATCAAGCTTTCGAAGTAAGACAGGGCATGCACTCTTTCAGTTAGATTTGTGTTTGAGACGATCGCATCATATATCTCAGACATATAGTTCTGTATCTCTCTGCTGTCAATCTTCTTCTCAAACTCTTCAGGCTTCAAAGGGATAAACGTAAGGTAGTCTGGCTTGTAGACAGGCTCTTGAATTTTCTCAATATCCTTATTTCCAATGATTGGTTTAACAGCTGTATCAGAATGATGAATCATCAGTTCATCAATCGATTTTGGACACATTTTCTTAGTTGCTGAATTGGATTTACCACTAGAAAGCTTCCTCATCATTGTTGGAGTACTCTTATCTGAAGGCGACGAAATGAAGTTATTGGATTCAGGATAAAATTGAATTCCATTCTTACTGAATTCTTTGTTCATCAAGGCAGGCTCTCTAGCAGATTTGAATTTGTTTAAACTAGATTTACTTGATGATCCATTCATGAAAGGCTGATACTTCTTCTCTGGTAGATGAATGTAGTTGTTTGATAAGTTATCTGATTTCTTCTCTGGTTGAAAAGATCTTCCCTTTGTCAAGGCAATTTTTGTGTATGGCTTTTCATCAATATTTTCGATCTCAGTCTTAAAGTACTTTTGGTCAATCCTCTCTTTATTTTGTTCTGAATGAGCTGACACCATCCTCTTACTCTTTGGTTGCCCCATTGTTGAGATATTTTTAAAGTCTCTCTTTTCAACCTTCATCATATTTTTGAATTTTTGGTCGATATCGTCACAGAACTCATCTGTCTCTATTTCTCTGACTTCAACTTTATTTGGGTCTATTTTCTCAAACAGCCTTTTCTCTTTTCCTCCAGTATTGCTAAAGGAGCCTGGGACTTTTGTTCCAGAAGAGAATCCGTGACTCGAAGAAGAGTGCTTTGTCTGGAGATCAGACAGATGCTTCTCTGAAGGAGATGGGTTGATATACTCATCTGCTGGCATAGATTCATCTTCTTCATTCTCTTCAGCGAAATCTAGTTCGATGTTTTGGTTGTTGATCTGGAGGTCATCACCCTGAACTTCTATCTCTTCATGTGATGTATTCTCCATGTTCCTCTTGACATTATACGAGAGTCTGAGGACATTCACATTACTCGGGATATGGCTACCTAAGAGATGCTTTGCCAAATTATTCGCCTTCTCTTTTAAGAAGAGGTCACTCTCTTTCTCACTATATGATCAGAAATCAGTGGACTTACAGTATTATTTGCTGTATTTTTGATGGAGCTACTCTTCTTACTTTGCCTACTCTCTTAAGATATGCATCAAACTGAGGCTCATCAGGAAGTTTCTCTGCATCAAGGACTTTAAGCTCTTCTTCCTCCCAATATGGGCTTTCGATAAGTTCTTCCCAAGTGATTCTATCAGCAGGGTCTTTCTCAAGCATCAAGGAAATCATATCTTTTAATTCTTGAGAACACCTGAGCAGATGGACAGGGGTCGGGTCTTCAGTGATCAGTTTTATCAGGTTATTCAAGGAATTTGAATTGAAAGGTGGCTTTCCTGTAAGAAATTCAAATAAGAGACAACCAAAGGACCATATGTCAGATCAGAAGCTGTATACACCTTCATCTTGGAATAACTCTGGTGCCATGTAGTATGGAGACCCTGTCTTTGCCTTAGCGTATGTTTCTTGACCAGGGTTTATATAGTCAGTGATCTTCCTTGCTCTTCCAAAATCAGCTAATTTAAGTTCGTTATACTCATTGAACAAAATTGTTGATGGCTTCAAGTCGCCATAGATAATACCATTTGCATGGAGGTAGTGCAATCCCTTCAGAATTTCAACACCAAAGTGCTTAGTCGTCTTTTCAGGAAACTTCTTATCTTCATTAAGCATTTTGTAAATATCTCCTCCTGGGCAAAAATCAAAAATCAGCCAGAGATGGTTTCTAGTTTCATAATAATTATAGAACTTGAGAATATTGGGGTGATCCAAAGGCTTGAGAATTCTGTGCTCGTTGATCACCTTTTTCCTCCTGTTCTTTTCAACTGACTTCACTGCCACATATTGGATGCTCTTCTTTTTCTTCCCCTAGTCAGAATTAGAACGCAAATATCTTTGAGTTTAAGAAAAATACCAGTGAATAGCGGCCAAATATGCCTCATAAGAGCTAATATAAAGTAATGAGTTCGAAAACAAAGCCAATAAATAGCATAACATACCTTGTAAACAGTGGAGTACTTCCCATGACCAATCTCATCATAAATGTGGTAATTATTCATGTTTGTTCCTAACTAATTTAAATTTAAATAATATAAATACTCCCCGGGGTTTTGGGGTTTTGGGGTTTTGGGGTTTTGGGGTTTTGGGG